TTGTTGTTATTGTTGTTCTTGTTTTTGGTATATTTGCATTTAAATTACAAAATTAATTGACACTACTGCCTACCTCTGGGGAATGTATCTCTTAAGACAAACTCCAACGAAATCTGCTTTTAAAAGAAATTTTTCTATGCCTACATATAATTAATTAGTCCATGGCTTTGAAGCGATATCACATTGAACACAGACACACACACACGCACTCACACACACACTCTACTTATACACGGTCTTCCTTTTTTAAAAGAAGCATTATTTTTCTCAGAAAGCCATTTTAAGACACCTATCCTGCATCAAGCAGTGCATTTTACTGCAACTTGAGAAATCCAGAAATATCTATTAAAGTTTGGCAGGAGAGAGCCTGTCCTTAAACTCTGAAATAATACCTGGTGATGTGCTATCCGCTGGCAGGGAGACCAGACAGATGTGCACGCTTACACTCTTGGGTGAGTCAGACAATCAAATTTCATTACTGTCTTTTTTTCCCACATTTTTATATCCACGTAAAAAGTGGCATTTATCTAAAGTATTGATCTTTTCCTACTCTTCCACACTATAATGTTTTATTCAGTGGACCAAATGCCCAAGATTTGTGACCTTGGTTTGTTATTCTTGATTTCCCCCCCCACTTAAATACTACTGACTTTTTTCCCCTTCCAAAAATATAAAGAGAAATGAGCGAAGAAATTGCACTTTAAGAATATGAAAATCTTCATTTATCTTGACCCTGGCCCCATTTTTCAGGATCAAAGAACAGAATCCTATTTAAAAAGGAGTTCCTCACAGCCAGTGACCACACTGCCCTGCTGTTCTAACTGAGCCCTGGGCAGACGGAGACAAGGGAGGCCATGAAAGAAATGATGTGCACAACTGGGGACAGAGACCGTCACTAGAAGTGATCGGAACAGCTACTCCTCTAATTTGTTTTGATGTCACCTGCTTATATTCCCATAGCACTTTTTAGATTCTTCACAGCCATCTTCACAGGCTTCATGTCCCCCCACCTCCAGAATGCCGGCAAGACAGAACAGGAAACCAGGTTTCACAGATCGGGTAGGTGGCAGATGTTAGTGGAAGTTTCTGGTCAAGAAGCCACATCTCCTGATTCCTAATTTGGAGCTCTTTTCATCAGATATATTCTACTTATGTTCACAACTGCACAAGCTGTCTGAAACTGGATGTGTGTCAACCAAACTCTGCTTTCTTCTTTAAGAAGTATATTAAAAAATAGCATCCATCTGATTGCCCATGCATAGGTACAAGTTAAAGCAATTCCTGTGAATATGTGAAACCAGCCCAGATAACCTAGAAGATTAAAGAAAAAAAGTATGCATGCAAATGAAACTGTTAAGTTGGATTCAGGAAATAGAGATATCCCCTATGTGTGGCTACTTCTGCAATATAAACTTCTCCATCACCTATAGGGGGAAATGATAACAACTGAGCCATTGAATACAGAGTTGAAACCTTTTCTGTTACTCACCTTCTCCAGCCAATGCCAAGATAGTTCTTGACCTGGTCTGTTTCCCATCTGAGTTTTTGCTTGAACAGGACTGGGAACAGGGTGACCATTCTGTCCACTCGCTCACCACACAATCCATTCGGCAGGGAATTTCACAAACCATCCGTTCAGGAGGAGGAGGTATTGGGCAGAGACTCCCTGAGACATCTTCTCCTGAAATCAACCACATCAAGACAGATGCTGATTAATGCACAATCGAGGCCAGTCCAAGGAACATTTACATTCATTGCTTTCTCTATTATTTCAGGTTAGCTTAGAAGACTTTACTGGATGTCTAAACCAATAAAGTACAAAAATGATGGCTTCTTCATCCATTCATAATATTTATGTCAAGAAATACTGCCAGAAGATAATTTGGCATTTAGAAAGGTAGATATTATAGCAAAACTCTCAATTGCCATCCTTCATAGGGACAAAGTTGGCTTCTTCCAGAACAATTTAGCCATGGGTGGCTGGAGATAGTCATGATGAACATGTTTTCAACAGCCATATGTAACCAGTATATATTGCATGTATGTAGTTGGCATGAAAAACACAATTTATGTTGAACATTCTAATCTACCCTGTAAAGAAGGATTTTTTTCATTCCAATTTTCTTTTGGGTGCATTCATCTCCTTTAAACGGCATTATCACATGATGACTCTATTGTTCTCTTTGTGCATAGTAGTAAATAATTGAAAATTAAAATTGAAATGGGCCTGTGGCTAAAATTAATACATTGACATAAAATTTGGCCTCTAGTCTGAAGTTCCCCATAAT